ATATGTGTGTGTGTGAATGTGGGTGGATGGGTGTATATTTTTATGTATGTATGTGTGCGTGTGTGCGTGTGTATGTGTGTATGTGTTTTCACGTGTGTGTGTGTGTGTGTGTTTTCACGTGTGTGCGTGTGTGTGTTAGTTTGTTTGCGTGGAAGTCTGTGTATGCGTGTGTGCGTGTGTGTGATAGTTTGTTTGTGTGTGCGTTCGTGTGTAAGAATATATAGATTTTTATTCATACATTTATATAGGCTTTGCTTGTCAATATACGCCCCCAAGGCGGAAATTTACTCTTAATTTGCTTCGTAGCCTGTTGATTATTATCTAGAAGGACGAATCGTCGTATACTCGAGCACCTATGTTTGCCCGCAGGTATTATACATAGTAAATCAGTTTGGATTATATGCAGGTACAGGTGAACGGTACAGTGATCCTAGGCAGTCACCCACAATCGCAGACAAGAACTAGCATGTACTCCAAACTATCACTAAAAATTACAAATGTGTTATTTTCCGCTTAGAGCCATTCTTCACAACGAATATCAATTAAGAAAGTGCAGCTAGGTGCATACATTCTATGACCACAACTTGTCACCATGAACTTCATGTTCGTGTGCAACGTTTGCGTTCGGAAGCATTTTGGGCATTTCTTAAAATCCTCCGTCTCGACCTCTGTAGCGCTCATACTATCTTTTTTTTCTCGACATTTAGAGATTTGGTTGCACACAGTACAGGTGTAGTATGAATTCAATTCATAAATATGATACACACATATGTATATAAATATAAAAAAACAATCATATTTCATATTTATTCTAATAAATAGCCCTCAATAAAAAGACAAGAAGGCTATGGAAGGGCCCAAGAAGAGGTTCAGACTTTTAGACTTGAGTTTTCACTGTTTTGGTAGGGCTGGTAGGTGAGTCATAATAAAAAAATATGAGGAATACATACGCAGACTATTTTATAGAAGGCTATGGCCTATGGAATTGCCCTCTTGTATAATAATTTAGAAGGCTGTGTCCATGTGCTATGGAATACGTGCAATTATTGTAGGAGGCTATGGAATACGAAATCTATACCTGCCCTGAGGGGTGAGCAAATGAATGTATGCAGGTATGTAAGTGTTTATTTATGATCTATGCATGCTTGCATGCATTTTTATTTATTTAAAATATATGTATGTTGTATTAAGCATGGATGTATATATGCATTTATGTATGCTGTATGTTCGATATATGTTGTATATGCTGAATGTAAATATGCTGTATTTATGCTTATCATCCCTTAGTATAACATTTGTAAGTCATCTATCGCGAAAATCTTCAATTTTTACGTAAACCAAATGCACCTAATAAAATGGCTCCATAGACCAAAAGTTCAATTTATACACAGTTCCGAGCCAGACCATGCATCACGCCTGAATGCATTTATTTTTATTTTCAACTAAAATATATTCATGTTGTATGTAAGTGTATTTCCATATGATGTATGCTGCGTATAATATATATGTTGTATATGCTTTATGTATGTTGCATGCTTATCATTATTGACCATCAATTTTGTTTCCCCCATTTGTAAGTCATCTCTCGCGAAAATCTTCAGTTTTTACGTAAACCAGATTGTTTAATTTTCAGAAGGCTATGACCAGATCCAAAAAAAAAATGGCACAATAGTCCAAAAATAATAGTAAGACAATTGTCCATTCCGAACGAAAAACCCGAACAAATAATACGAGAAAAAAATACGAACCTGTTTTGTTTAAAAATAAAAGACTGGGGCAAGAGGTGGCCGGGCCTGGCCGCCTGAGTGACTTTAAAAAAAAATAGTACTTTATAAATACATATTTCTTAAACAAAAGGTATCCTATTTATCTCTTTTTTTTTGCACAGGGGTTAGACCGTTAGGGACTTTTAGGGGCTCTCTAGTAGAGGGCCCTCAGGCTGGGCTAAAATAACCGCCGCTTTGAAAGAATGATATCTGACGGCTACAAATGATCAGATTTACGTGTACGATGGAGCAATTCGCCAGGGCCCAGGGGCCAGGCCGACAGGGCTCAGGGCCCTGCAGGGATCCACAGATTTTGTAGCAAGTGCGATTTTAAAGTTTGTTTTTATAAATTCAGGAAACACGGAAGGAGAGTATACAGTCATAGAGTCGTAGAGTCCCAACCTCAACCCGGTTTTCCGTTATTAAAACTTTTATAAATCGAATAAATATACATTTACGTTCAGCTTTTAATCCATATGTACACCTTGCGGGTCTAAACATCTAAGAGTGTACCGCTTTGCATCTTTTAAAAAAAAAAAGCTAACAATTTACAGAACACAAAAGCAATCGTATTTTCTGACGTCAAGGGATTTACATTTCATTTTTTCATCTTCAAAGAGAAACCTACCTAGGTTCATTTAATAGGACGAATTCTTTGATTGAAAACAGTACACACTTATATTTTTACACCCAAAAAAGTGCACCTAACAAAAAGGTGCACCTAAGTTGAGCATAAACGTATATTTATTCGATATATAAAAGTACAAACGGAAAACGGTTTGAAGTTAGAACTCGGTGCAGTCTAACTTTTTTTTAGTTTTAAAAAAAGACAACAAATACAGTGTGTTGAATTGTTGATTCAAAAGATGTAATTTTGACAAGATACTATTGGGCAATAAAAACAAAGTGGGAATGTTTCTCTGTCAGTAGGATTTATAGAACCCTAAAGCCCTCCAAACTCCATCATGCTCCAAGATGCTCGGCAATACTGAATCAAAATTGATGCAATATCAATTGAAGGCGGTGATTGGTGGAGGCTGTCGCGAGTTAGCAAGGAGATAGAGTTGGGACTCCCTTGGTCTAATGGGGATTCACTTTTGAGTAGGGATAATAATATTTGACAGTCGGACAGGGAGTCAGAGCCTAGTAGACTTAAAAAAAGGGTTTAACATTAGAAAGCCCAGGGCCCCAGGCCCCGCCGCCCCAGAGGCCAAAGTCTCAGAGAGCAGAGCCAAACTCCAGAGTCCAGAGTCCATAGGTCAGAAGTAGGAGCAGTCCTGTACTCTGCACACTGTGAGTGACTGTACATATTTGTCGACAGTTCGACACTGTGTACAGACTACATACTACAGAGTGAACAGACTACTACAGAGTACAGGCTACAAACACTCAGAGTGTAAAAGCTCACAGCTGCAAAGTCTTCTTCTCTCTCTTCAACTCTTGTTGTGTTTGTCCAGCAGCTGTGACCTGTGAGGCGCGGGTGTGTACAATTGTACGCTATGGTGCTACAAACTCTGTCCTCTGTTTGAACTTTTGAAGTCTGATCACTGGATCAGTGATCACTATTAAATTAAAGATAAATATGCAAAAATCAAAATCAAAACTATCAAAATAAAATAAAATTCATTTTTCTTGACAAAATCTTCTTCATTACAAACTACTAAGCAGTGAAATTTCCTCGATTTCCATTTTTTTTTCCGGCCCCTCATTTTGTTGTTTGTTAAATTTTTGGTTAAAAAAATATATATATATAATAAACAGAAATCATTTGGGTTATGTGTTTTATTCAGCAGTGTAGGCCAGTTGGGTTGCTTGACAGAACTTGAAAAATATGTAAATGTACTTACATTTGTAACTATGTATGTAATGTGTTTTTACTAATAAAAAAATCAAATGTAAATAGTAATTAGGATTTAGGTGGTACAATTTACAAAGCACCTATAACCAAGCCCCAAGATTACACAACAACAAGAGAGAGGCCGAGGGCTATGGCCTATTGATATTTGAGCCTATGACTCTTTCTTGAAGTCTCGAATCTCGAGTCTTGTTCGAGTCTAGACAGTCGACTCCCGCTGTCACGCGTGACTCGACTCTCGAAACGAGTCTATAACTCTAAACACTCCCTTCGACTCGCGCAGTCACACAGTCACAGTTTCAGGACTCCAGGAGTCAGGACTCTAAAAAGAGTCACGAGTGACTCCACAGTCCACAACATTGTATATAATAAATAAAACATGGCTGGGACGCCACGGGGACTGAAAGCGCTTTATTGTAGAGGCAATTCATTTTGTTCATAATCACGTTCATACCGGTAAAGTATCTGGGCCTTTTTTCGAAGAAAAAAAACAAAAACAAAATTATACAAATAAATTTGGAGTCTTTCCTTCTGAAATGAGGAGGGACCCCAAGAGGGTCTACAAATGCGTCAAATACCGTCACTGACGTTTTTTTTTGGCGCCAGACAAAAAATCGGTGATAAAGTTGACAGGGATTTTTAGAAAAGCATACGCTTTCAGCAATAAAACAAATAAATAGTAAATATGTAGTAATGTACAGTACATAATAGACAGTAATCCACACTTCCCGAGAGAGAGGCCGAGAGTCCGAGAGTTCGAGAGTCCGAGAGACTACATATCAGTCAGTCAGTCAGTCATACAGACACACGAAAAAAAAGTGCCAGACTGCAGCAGTGCAAGAGTAAAACATTCTTGAAAAGACTCTCACAAATACTATTAAAAAAAGTTCTTACATACATAGTACCTATTTAAAAAAAAAGCTGAAATCATCGACTCGACGACTCAGTGTCTCACTCTTGTATTCCTTTTTATTTTTAAAAAAGATAAGTAAAATATTATTTTCGTTTTTTTAGTGAACCTATTTTGTTTTTGTTGAAAAATACGTATATTTTCTATAAAAATCATTTTTCTGAAAGGGGACGAAATGCTCTTTGAAAGAGATATAATAAAAAGGGTCCCTAAATTGTGGCTCCTCCTGTCCTCCAGCCTGCCGGGCTGCAGGGCCTGCACAATAAATAGTTCACAACAGAAATACATCAAAGTGATCAAACTATTTTCTGATTTATCCCAGCGACCCAGTCCTCATTTACATTATAAATAGCACCACACTTGTGCTCTCTATAATCATTATTATAAATAACACTTTTTACATAATCGGATTAGACATACATACATTATGTCATCGATAGACAACGACGTGTCTGACTCGTCAAATGATTTACAGAATGCCTCATTTGGTAACAAATTATGGACGTCGCTACGAAATTCGTCCATGATTCTGTGGACGCTTGTTGGCGCTTTTATCGGTATTGGAGTGGGTCTCCTTCTGTCACACTTTCAACCTAGTGCTTATATAACATTATGGCTAGGTATGCCTGGTACTTTGTTCATCCGAGCACTAACCCTTATGGTTGTACCCCTTGTATTCTGCTCTATTCTCCTTGGTGTGGCGGGTGTGGTCGATGTTGGGGGGTCCGTCGGGAGACTTTCTGCGTGGACAGTGGCCCTATACTCGTTGACAACGGTAGTAGCTGTCATCGAGGGTTTAATTTTTGTTCAAAGTTTCCGTTTCGCCTGGGCTGTAGGCCCTGAGGACGTATCTGGTGTAACTGTGAACCCCATCACCGTAGAGTGGGATCTCAACGCACGAGTGTCTGCCATAGATAACAATATGGCTGATGATTTCTACTACTCGCTGGCAACTGCCTCGTCTGTATTGCTACTACTACCAGGGCAACAAGTGTTGACAAATATCACCACTTTGGTTTACAATGCTCCGCAGACCGTATCATTCATGATGCCTGACCTCCTACCCACTGGCTCAGTTACCAATTTCTCCGTGTACGACGCCGCTGGTGCGCTTGCATTTGCCGTTCCCGATGGTGCCTTGACGATTATCCCTAGTGCAAGTGATACAACATCCTCAGATTCTCCTGCGTCTACCGGCGAGAGTGTGTCTAACTCGTTTGAGGATCTTCTGTACATGCTTGTACCCCGTAATGCTTTAGGAACATTCGTCGGTCTGCCTAATAATAGTGCCAGTTTGCTTGGTCTTATCACTTTTGCCCTTGTGTTCGCTGTGGGTCTTGCTATTCTGAAGAGGAGGAACATGTGGAAATCAGATGTAGTCCTTGATGTCACTAGACAGATCCTGGACGTCATCTTACTACTTACCAACGTTATCCTGAAGCTCACTCCCGTTGCCGTTTGTTCGCTGATCATCAGTGCAGTGGGCTCGCAGTCTTTGCAGTCCCTTGCAGATACTATGGCCTCGCTGGGTATATTATTCGCGACTGTAATTTTAGCCTTTTTGTTCCACGCTTTTGTCTTCATGGGATCTCTGCTTTGGGGCTTCACTAGAAGGAATATTTTCACGCATTATGCCGGTGTGGCCCCGGCTCTCTCCCTGGCTTTCGCTTCGGCTTCTTCAGCATCTACTTTGCCTACCACAATGGCCATGGCCGAGAAGATTGGCATGAGTGAGCACATTTCCAAATTTGTCCTTTCGCTTGGAGCAACAATAAGTAAGTAATATCTTCTGCCTGCTTAATTTCTACCCTTTTTTTTTTCAGAATTCCTGGGTATAGTATCCACTTTAGGATCTCGTACGGTCAGTAATCTGTTACTGTACGATAGTCATTGTATGTACGGCTGTCTTATTGAAATCATCGGCATGTTTGCTTCACTAAGAACCAAACAAGCTTTGTTGTGATACTTATAGTTAAATATAATTGAACAACTCACAGATATGGATGGAAATGCTGTTTTCATGCCGGCCATCGTGATCTGGCTCGCCGATTCTGCTGGTATTCCCATTACTGTCGTTGATCAAATCATCATCTGCATTGTCGCCGCACTAGCATCCATGGGCTCATCTCCTGCTCCTGGGCTGACCCCAGCCGTTATCCTTGTGTGGGGTTCTGTTTTCCCCGAGTATCCAGTACCGGATGCAATCGTTTATGTTTTGGCTCTCGATTGGCTACTTGATAGGTACGTCGTTTCTTCCTTTTACGTAATCACGCACGTGATGGTCAGTATTTTGGAAATCAGAATGTTTGTCCATTGTCTGATCGAACTACTATTTCTTTTTGAAATTACAGGTGCATCACCACAGTCAATGTCGCCGGAGACACCGTAATTGCTCGTGTAGTTGACACACTGAACGATAAGCAACTGAAGTTGCCCAATGAATCAAATATTGAATTGCCAATAGATTCGGACAACGATGAGAACGTGGCTGAAGATCTCGCCGAGTTTCAGTCGACGCCTAGCATCAAGAAATAAGTGCATCGTGTCGCACAAAATTTAGAAAGTCCCGTCTTGTAGGCGAGCACTTTGGTATACAAATAAAAGTGTAAATTAAATCAACTCCTTCAATTAAGCCTATTTGGAGTATTCGAGCACAGAAGTCAAGAAAGCATATCTACGTTGCCTACCAGTGTCACGTAGCGTTCTTTTTCCCCATGTCTAATACTCGAGTCGATCACTCACGTTGTTGTTCTTGCCTGCCTGTCCAATTGTAAAGTTGAGTCGTCTTAGTAACTTTTGCCGAGACTGCCGCTCAGTATTGTATGAATAATACTGGCCAGTGTTCCATTTATCGCTTTGTTTATGATATGTGAGAAAAGCTAGATCCACATGCACAGCTTAAGTTGCAAACGAATCAGATAGTTGTCGTGGTAAAGGATTCAGGCAGTACAGAAACAAAGGGATAAGAGCACGGTGTTGTTCAGTCAACTCTAGGTATTACGAGAAATTATTATTTCGTCGTACGAAACGTATTTATACTCAGCTTTGTGGGCAAGCACGTTGGCGAATAGAGTACATATTGTTATTAGTACTTCAGGACCCATACATGTATGTGTAAGTCACCTGCTATTTAGAATCTTGCCGCAAAATATGTACAGCCTTTTACGTATGACCATCATCCCAGATGGGAACCAAAATAATAATATCATGGCAACATTCATTAACATGCGCACACAAGTTTGATGACATTATAAGCATTAAAGATGGCCAAGGACACGTCAGACAGCGCCCACAGGCAGTTCTGCAGTCCTCTACGTTCTTCAATTACGCAAAGGCTATTTTTTAATATTATATTTTATATACATACATTGTTTTTTTAAATTGAAAAAAAAACTGCAAAAAAAACAAAGTTCAAAAAGGGGGTTCCACAGTCCAATCAGTCTTCGCCAACACATCCCCTCTCCCATACATATTTTGTATTTTGGTTTTGTTTTTTTTGGTTTTGTTTTGTTTTAAAGAAAAACAATCAAATACAAAGAAATACTTTCTTCTTTCAAAGAGTCAATGATGAAGGAGTATTTTGCTATTTCAGAAAACAATTTTTTTTAAAAGCCCGCGCAAAAAGATATCTATCTAAATATAAATATGATCTCCTATCAGTCCTCGACTCCTCGCTCAGTCTACAAAAAACAAAAAGGACAAAGAGAAGAAGAGACTCGTAGGGTGAATCTAAATACAACATTTATGTCACACAGGTTATTTACATGCCTTTACCAATTTCCCATAAAATACAGCAAAGTGCTATTTTCAATGCTTGTGATGAGTGATCAGTGAATAGTCGACATGCTATCATCTCGGATTCAAACCCCATCAATGAAGAATAACACGCAGAAGCGCAAACGCGTTGCTGCAGCTAAGTCGAATAAAGGGGTGAGTAGCGAACAAGTTCTATTGTAGACAAAATATATATTAGTTCAGAATGTTGGTTCTCTATATTACACGTAGTGTGATGTAAAGATATATATATATATATATATATATATATATATATATATACGTCTACTATATGTGTTGTGTGTGTGTGTGTGTGTGTGTGTGTGTGTGTGTGTGTGTGTGTGTCTCTA